CTACATTTTTAGTCTTATATTAATCAATTTAAATTTGTAAGCCACACACAAAATGAGATGGCACAGAAGTTGGCACTGCCACTTCTCGGAATACTTCACCAAGTACTCCAAGGTAACTAGTAGCTAAACACGTGATGAATTAGTTTTTCCTGCCCATTCTCCCCAGCCAGACTGTCAGCACTGGTGAATAGAACTTTCTGTAATGATAGAAATATTTTCTGTCTTTGTTGTCCAAATACAGTAACCACTAGCCACATGTAGCTACTGAGCACTTGAAAAGTGGCTAGTGCGAGGAACTACATTTTTAGTCTTATATTAATCAATTTAAATTTAAATAGCCACATGTGGCTAGTAGCTACTATATTGGTCAGTGTAGCTCTGTGTGGATCTTCCCTTCAACCAAACAGAATAGTCACTAATGGAAAAAGCACACTCTGGTATTTTCCATGATGGAATCCGAGCTCTAAAGATATGCTGTGACTTTAATTTTTTTCAGAATTTTTTAAATGAAAAAGTCTCTGTTGCTCTTTGTATTCCAGCTAAACTACAGGGCCTGCACACTAATGAAGCCTCCTGCAAAAAACCTGATTGGAGATTTTCCTAGAAAATGCTTGTCCAGAAGCCCCAATGACTCTGATGAGGTGTTTCTATCCTTTTGTCCACCTCTCACGCAAATATAGATATGTGTGAAAGACATTTAAAATGCAACAGGACAAACAGTAACTAAAAATTATCAGTCAACAGATTTCTTTTCTGCCCATTCCTTACATTTAGGAGCAAAGGATTGTGTCCCAGGAGATTCTATTTAAAAAAGCAGGGAACCACCTCTAATTAATCCTTTATTAAGTAGTTTGGTATTTCATGGCTGTAAGCAGTTCCGGCATTGAGTTGTGTTTTTGGTTTCCTTTTGGAGATGAAAGGATCCCATGTAAGCTCAGCTTTTTATTCTATTTATGTCAAGAGAAAAAAACTTCCAGAGAACCAAATGAAAAGCAAGACACATCGGCTTCCAAAGAATTTCCATATTTATTTTACATAGTTTTACCGTACACATCTCATGCCAACACACAGGAGGCATATACAAACAAACGCACCAGCTTATGTTTTCCAAAGTCACGTGGCAATAAATAAGGATGGGTGGGTCCTTTTTTTTTTTTTTTTTCCTCCAGGAAATAGGACTTCATTTGTTTTTAACTGTACAAAATTTACACTGCGAAGGATGAGGGCAACAGTCCAGAACTTGGGGGATCTGGGGCTTTGAGGTCTGAATGCAAGCTCAGAGCAACGTCTGGGATCCTGCAGCCCTGAGCCTGCTTGTTTGGCTGAACACAGTCCTCAAGTGGGAAAGAACAATGTGATTCTTGTCTCTAGATGGGCAACAGATGAGAGTGGGGGTGTCCTTCCTCTGTCCACCTGTGCTCTGCCTCCCTAAGCAAAGGAATGCTTGGCGCACCTCCCAACCTGCAGCTGTCTCCTCACCAGAGCTAGCAGCATGAAACTGTGCTTTTAGTGTGGTCCTACCAAGCAGAGTGTGGATGGGATGACTTTGCTGAGCTCTCTCTTTTTGGCTCCTGTCACTGTGTTAGAGCAGTTGGAGCAACTACTGCAAAAAGGGCCAATTGACCAATCCAAGAAAGAGAGAGCCAGTGATGTGCTTTTTATTTAGCTTTCAGCATGCCCAGAGCCCTTCAGCAGCAGGCAATAAAACAAAACTCATTTCGGCTTAATTGAATTTTTCTTCATCTCACAGTCTCCAATTTTTAAAGTGCTATGTTTAAAAATGAGCCTCCTCATGCCTTCCAGACCCTGCTGGCTGAGGAGGTATGGTCATTATTTCCACGGTTATAACCGAGGTGTCAGTCGTGACGTGTGAGAGGGGCTGGGTGGGCGTGCAGGTGCTGGATAGTACAACACACAGCTATTGCTAATCGGAAGCCTTGAACCCCCTCTTGCAAGGAGGCAGTTAGTTCAACATAACCAGCTTGAGCTTCAGAGATGGGAATGTCTTTTGTTCTATAGATTTCTTATACTTTCTTGCAAAGTGAACTTAATGAAGACGATCTAATGGCCCTCAATTATCTCATTAAATTTCATGTTTTACATTGGCAAAAAAACAAAAAAAACTTTTAAGGACACCATCAAATGCTTATGTCTTAATTTTGTTGTCTCTCCCTGGTGTTTCACTGTACAGGAACTTTGCAGGAACTTTCAATATGGTCGTTGATTTTCATTTTACATTAGATTTGTAAGTATCAGATGAGGCAAGAAAGAGAAAGCACAAAGACTGAAAGGAATTTGCTTGAGGCCGCGCAGCAAGTCCTTGATGGGCCAAGAACCACGCTTCCCAAAATGTGATTTACCCTTTGAGCCAGCTTAGTCCTTAGATTTGGTATTTCTTCCATGGTTTTATTACTTTCCAGCAAATATAGATTCCTGCATGAGGTTCCTATTTTTGCTTATATCAATTACCACTGAAAACTTGGGGAGGAGGGAGGGCAGTTATTAATTTGCTCCTGGATTCAGAATCTTCCTACCATAAAGTCTATCAGCCCGGCACTGCAGATAATGGTTGCTAGTAAATTGCTCTCTCAGAGGCAAGGACAGGTCCAAATATTGTAAATGCCTCTAGAAGGTGTCATTTCATTTTAAAAATTCATCTATGTCATTTTAGCAAGGGGGTGATCAGCTGCCATGTAGCTAGCACATTATACCCCCGTAAGAAACTACTAAGCAACAGAGTACCTCCAAAAGAATCTAAAGGTAATGTCCTGTTCTTCTCCATCTCTGAACCACAAAAGAGCCAAGAAACAGTCTTGGCATGCAATGGCTTATTAGTGGCACCACCCCATCTGTAATGCTGACCCCACTTGCAGGCAGATCCACTTAAAATCTGAGACCTATTGTGGCTGTGCTTCTAAATAGGCACAGTGTTTGCTGCTTTCTGGGGAGGTGGCTCTGGGGAATTTAAATAAAGCTCTCCCGGCTTTCTGGTCAGTGCTCTCTCAAGAGCATTTCCAGCTAGCTTGTCCCACTGTAACCAAAGAAGCTACTACCAACATTAACTACACTGCTCACTGAGTTCCTCAAGGGACTTCTGGTATTAGTGTGAATGAGGAAGGCGTCCCCATTCTTCCACCATTGAATTAGGAATGAGTATGATTAACTTGCTTACAAAAAAAACCAAAAACAAAAACTGGTCAACTTACACTGATCTTAAACAGTGCTACACAGAGGGAGGGTGCCTCATTTAAATAGCCTGCTTTCCCCCTATTATACTCACCAAAAATATGACATGCCTCTGAAATCCCATGAGATACTAAGTCAGATAGTCAAGCTGAGACAGTGATATTGGTGGGACAGCTTTTCAGCTTGTTCGTTGCCCATCGTAGCTTTTCTCCTGTGTACTGTGAGCAGCCTGCTAAGAATGGTATATTTAAGAAGCTGTCCTCCAAAAAGATGGTTGCATTTTCCTTTGCTTTACATGGCTTCTTAATTTGCAATCGTATCTCCATCCCCACCCCAATGCTCACATTACTGGGGGATTCCCAATAGCACAGAATTGGATAGGAGCAACACGCCATCAACCATAAACATGGATCCTCAAGAAAAAAGTTTACATTTGCAGACTCCCCAAGCAAAAATCACAACAATTACAGCACACCAAAAAGCAGGGGTATGCTACAAAATTGATCAAAGAAAAGTTGGCCTGAAGGCTGATCCAGGAATTTACTGATTAGCTTAATTGAAAGTTTAATTGAACTTAGTTTGTCTGGAAAGGGGCTTACAAAAGATGAATTGGACAAAGAGCAACTGTTTATTTCTTCCTTCAGTCTGCCTACCACATGCCTTAATCTCTGCAGTCCTCAAAGCGTTATCAACCATTTACAGAAGGAAGAGACCTCAGGGTCTCTGGCCCCTTCATTTCATGTGAAAGAAGGGCAGGGCCTTCTCACCTTTCCTACTCTGCTGATCTCTTTTTAAGATAACAGGAGGCCGGAAGAAGCAAAGCTCTGTTTCCCAAGGGGACGGGAATAAATTCCAGCTGGCTAAATTCCAGTTTGCACCTGAAAAGCTTCCTGATGGCCAGATATGGGATACATAAGGTAGGAGCTGCAGCGCCATTCATGACGGTGTTTCCCACAGAAGTGCAGTCTGCCTCAGGGGTGGCAAGCTGCCCTTGCCTCAGGCTCAGTGAGGTGCTATTGCAAACCCACAGGCAGAGAGTCCATGTACTGCCCCTGGTCAGAGGGCTCTGGCTTTCTGAGCATGGGACTGGAGGCCAGGGAATGGCATGAATCCAGCCAGCAACCCAGAGAGATGCAGCCTAAGGACTACTTGGAAGATTTTGGACAATTTTAGGGCTGCTCCCCCAATTATTCCTCCCAACCAAGGTAGGCCAAAAAAGCATTGCTAGTTCCTGGAAGTGGCCAAGACTGCCTTCCAATTGAGTCAGCCAGTACGGCAGATAAAGCTTTCATTTTTAAGAGGGATAGCAGGAGTAGACTTGCAAACTCATCCAAACCAACTCCCTCAAAACAGACTCGCAAATGTCATTTTACCCTCCAAGGATAGAGAACTCTGGGAGCCTGGCATCTGCCCATTTTGCTAACCAGACTGCATGTTTGGAATCCAAATGTGCCTACAAATGGTTTCACTGATTGTCCTTGTGTTCTCTCCATATTTCAGCATTGATCATTTTGTAACCCACAGACTGTCTTGTGGAATAAATGATACAAGAAAATTAAAAAGGCACATTGTGCACCAAGGGGACTCATTGGGCAGTCTGTGATGGTGGTCCAGGGTCACTCTGCTCCAGCCTTAGAGTCACCTGCAATGAAAACCACTTCTTGCCATCAGGGATTCTATGATATAGATGGATTTCTTAAAAACTGATTAATATTCTCTGGTTTATACATCCAGGTAGGAAAGAATTCAAATAGCAAAAAAAAAGGAGAGGGCATATTTTTCACAGCAAAAAAAAGGAGGGGGCATATTTTCAGTATCAAACTGTGGCCATTAAAGACCTTTAGTAACTAACTTTTTTATTTTGAAAATCAGGGTTCAATAAGGAGAGTCCAGAAATTATTTTATTATACTCAAGGGCCATGATGCCTCTACCTCAGGAATCTTGGTTCTGCAGAGACCAGTGGTTTGGGAGGCATCGTGTGAGATGCACCAGTTGGAACAGAGTTCCCGAAGGCCAAGGGAGCCTGTCACAGTCACCTCATGCTACCAAAGCACTGAGCAGCCAAAGCCTCTAAGCAGGGCAGGAGGGGAGAGAGCCCACAAGCCAGCATCCCTAGAGCTCTAGGCTATACCCCTGGGCTGTGTTGTGAGCTGAGGCTGCTCTCCCACCAGCTCCCCAAGAAAACAATGCCCTAGTGTGGTCTCACAGCCTTCTAGGAATCCGCGGAGGATTTCCATTGAAAATAATGGAAATTCACATTGGCGCACTTTTGATCCTTAAAAGGCAAGTCTCTTTTGATCCTTGAAGATATTCTCTCAAGCCAGGAGGACAGGTAGGGTGGGGAGGAGAGAAGTTTAAAAAGGAGGATGATCCATTTCATCGAGCCAGGAGGCTGGGCTAGTTGGAAAGTCGGGGTAGCCTACACTGCTTCCTGTGGAGATGTCAGAGGTGGGTCCCCCAGCCATGGCTCTCAGCGTCTGGCTCACTCCCTGCCCTGCATGAGCAATGATGCCCAGATTACTGTCCACCGTGTAATCCAGCCCATTGAGCAAAGGAGCGTGAGATGGCAGGGACGATGTGGAGGATGGAGACTGGGGGATTCCATAGGGGCTCCCATCCCTCAAGTCCTGATAGGATTGTCCTGTCCCGTCCATGGAGAAGCTCCCATTCATTAACTGTCCGCCTGTAACGTCCCCCACGTTGCCATAAATCCTATTGGTGTGGCCAAGTTCTGAGAGAATTTGATCCTCTGTGGACAAAAGAACGGAGATTTATTGTCAGCTGCCAGGACTCCGGTGGTCCCCTGCTCTTCACAACCCAGGATACACATGACCAGGGAAGAAGCCCAAGGGTGGCAGCTGCCTCGCTGCCAAGCATGGATCAGACACCAACATGTCAGCCTGACATCCAGAGACCAACCTGGGTCAAGGGGAAAAGCAGAAGCATCGCCTGTGGAGACTAAATGCCCAGGTCCCAGAGGGCTGGACACATGTTTGGTGAGCTTCTCGGTCCCTTATGGCTCCTGAACTACACCTAGGAGTATGAATGCCCAGGGTTTGGGGGGTCATATGCATCTGCGTCGCAAGTGGAAACTGTGCTGATGAGATTTACTCTGAAAGCTTTTAAGCTGAAATAAGTGCTCAGTTTAAATGGTTGGGAAACAAGCAGACTAAGTGGTAAGGGCAGCTGAGAACCACTATCACACATGCACAAAATCCTTCTGGTCGACCTGGACAGAGGCGCAGCACCACAGGACTTGTTTCTCTCTATGCAGTAAGCTTCACTGGGGACAAAGAACCGACTTGTTTCGGGCAAATGGATCTTCATGTTTCTTAAAGAATTTCATTAAGGGAATCTAATAGAATCTTTGCCACCTGAAAGAATTTCTCTCTCCAACAGAGGTAAGCAGTTTTAGTCTTAGAAAATAAAGGATTATATAATTACCCAGAGAGACCAATGATATGTCTACCCAGGGACCCACCTGCACCCAACAGAAATGAGCTACAAAACAAGACTTAGAAATCCTGTGAGTTCCAGGCATTGATTTCAGCAGCTCAGATGAGATTAAGTGGCTTTCCCAATCCCACTGAGAGGCCCTTAAAGTGAGAATAACGCCCCTGAGCATTATTCTTGTGAGAAGGGCCCACAGACCCTGTGTTTGGCGAGGAGGCTGACCTCCAGGGTCAGCAGGCCTGGGCTGAGATATAGTCCTCTCAGGGCACCGTGTTCCTGGCAGCAGCTTGCTCCATCCTCTGTCCACAAACTTCTTCTATTTCCACTTGGACCTACATATCAATTCCTATATCAGGCCTCCCAGACTCAACTTCAGCGTCCCATCCCTTCTGAGGCCTGCCTGCCCCCTATTTAATCCATGAAAATAAAAAAAAAAGAGGGGAAGCTCATGCCGTTTAAAGGGAGCAGGAAGATGAAGGCTCAGGTCCACTGTAAAATGGCCATGATTTGGCCTTTTGCCTATACCTGTCATCTTATATGACCAGGGCCCTCTGTAGGAGCCATGGGCTCCCTGTGGGGACCGTCATGCTTTTCACGTGTACAAATGTGCTTAGCTTTCCCCAAGCACATCCACAATCAGTCGTGTTCATTGATCGCCACAACATTAATGATGTGGGCAAAGACGTGGTATTCCCCAGTTATAGATAAGGAAACTGAGGCTCAAGAGAAGTGAATTGATTTCATAGAGCCACGATGGAAACCAGGTCTGATCCCCAGTTCAGTACTCTTCCCTTTCCCCCAACAGAAGGCCTTCCGCATTTGAGGACTCAGTAAGTGAGAACAGTTATGGTTATTTGCAAACAACCTGAGGATCCACAACATGCAGTAATTTGCAATTTTGCTGATGCACAAATATGAATATAGCTCATGCTGCAAAGCTTGTGTGCAGGGGACAGGATGAAGTGAGTGGTGGGGGAAGGGATTTCAGAAATGAAGCCAATTCCCCATCTCACATGCACTCACAATATTGATTTCCCAGGGAAAAGGGCCTGTGAGCCTGTCTTCCCCAACACCAGGACAGGAGGAAGGGGTTACTTTAGGGGGCTATGGGAGGTAGGCCAGTGTCCCTGCAAAGGGGAGAAATGCAGGGGAGGGGCTAGGGACACAAGGCTGAGACACTGTCATCGGTTCACAGCTGCCGGGGCTGGAAGGGGTACCCACTGTCAGCAGGAAAGGAGGGGAGGCCTCAGGGCCCCGGGACGGGCCTGGCCAGGTACCGGGCTAGCAGCTTCCAGATCCGGCAGCAGTGCTATCTTGTTTTCTACTTGTCCCATCACGAAGGGCCACTAACATCATCCCCCACCCTCGACTGCAAGTCTTGAGGAAAAGCCTGTGTTCAGGAGGGAGTTGCCAAGGCCTCAAGAAAGATCCCTCCTGCGTGTCAAGGATCACTGGTTCCCAAGGGACTTTCCTAAGGCCTGGGCCTCACCCCTCCAGCCCTGCTCACCTCGGAAGCTCAGCTCACTGTCACTAACCCCACAGTCCTCTGCAGAACTCTCCTTCTCCTGCTTGCTGCCTCCCCGGCTCCTCTTGACGCTCTTATAGAACTGCCCCCAGCGGTGCCGCCCTGCGTCCTTCTTCAGCCGCTTCTCCTTGGCCCTTCTGTTCTGAAACCAAACCTGCCACACAAGCACAAGGGACAAACTCAGGAGATGAACACCATGACCCAGAGCCCCCAGGACTCTTAGGGCAGGTGGCTGGAAATGGGCTGAAGCCTCAGTAGAGTGCAGGGCCGGAGTGTGATGTGCCTGCTTGTCCCTCTGCCTGGGCTACAGAACTCTGGCTCCACTTCTGGCAAACACGCCACCATCACAGCCGTGAGCCCACCTCCCCAGGTGGATCAGTGACAGCCCTCCCAAGGTGATGGCCCTTATGCTCCCTAGGCCTCCAGCAGGTGGAGGGCGTGGACACAGGGTCTGGCTCAGAACAGTGTCCAACCCGTCCCAGGCCTGGGATCCCCTGAGGGCAAAGGTGCCCTGGCTGTCTCACCTGTACGACCCTCATGTCCAGGCCTGTCTCTGAGGAAAGCTGCTCCCTGACATGCCGGGCAGGCTTGGGGGAGTTCTTGTAAGCGTTCTTCAACGTCTCCAGCTGCTTCGCTGTGATGGTGGTCCGGGGCCGCTTCGCACCTGCTTCCGAGTCATCTGTGAGGAAAAGCACTTCTTGCTGGGTTCAGTCCCCCTGACGCAGCAGCCACCTCCCCCCAACACACCATGGGAGTCCTCCTGCTCTGGGCAGGGCAGGGGGAAGAATGGTGGACATCAGAGGGGAGTGGTCCTGACCCCGTGCAGCCAACTCCTGCCCCTCAGGCCTTCCCAAGTCACTAGAAAGTGAGGACCACTGTCCTCTTTCCTCCCCTGCAAGTCCTGCCACATAGAAGCCTTTCATCAGATGGAACATATAGGATTCCACGCATTTCCCTGTCATGACAAACATCCTCGTGAGTGAGTCATTGCCAGGGTGGTGAAGGTCAACGGCCAGAGTGAGGCCGGTGCTCTGAGCTGCCCCCAGATGCCCCTGACACTGTCTCATCAGGAGCCTCCCAGTCCCCCACAGCCACGGCCACGCTGCCTTTGCCACGGCCCTCCAGGCGCATGGCTCGGGTGGGCGCAACTCATTTGTCGTCCAAGGAGTGTTCATAAAGTATGGGTCAGAACCCATTAGTGGGTTGTAAAGTCAATTTAGTGGATCAACACTAAAAGAGGAAACTAGATGGATAGGACAGGATAGGATAGATGAGGGCAAGTATTGTTTCATGAAAACTGTTTAGTTTTCACCATTTGAACGTGTGTAATCAGTTGAAACGTAAAATGAGTTTTTACTGTGGGTCAGAGTCAAAATTTGTTGACAAACACTGATCTGGGCTGGCTGGTTAAGTCACTTGGTTAGATTGCAGTGTTATAACACCAAGGTCAAGGGTTAGGATCCCAGTGTTGGCCAGCCACCAAAAAACCCCACTGATCTAAGGAGTGTTGGGGGCAACACACGGATGGATCAACACAAAGTCTTCGGTGGATTTTTGAGTGGCTGAGCCTCAAGCTCCTGTTGGTTAAAGGCTGGTCTGTTCCATTCAGAGCCAGGCACAGAGAGAGGCACCTGGGTGTGTCCAGTCACACAGTCAAGTGTAAACGGGGGTGGGGGGTCCTCTCCCAGCTCTCGGACTTAACCACCCTTCTCTGCACAGCACCGTTAAGAGGAACAAAGAATAAAGTCGGCAGCCAGGTCCCTTGCTCCTCAGTTCTCTGTGTTCCCTCTCATGTGTGTCCTTTCAAGTGTCTCTGCTACATTCCTGCCTTCGTCCCTGTCTTTTCTCCTTCCCTCCCATTCAAAAAACCCTCTATTTGGAACAACAACAGCCAACATTTATCAAGCACTTCCTAGGTACGGGTGTTGACTAGGAACTTTACATACACTCATCCTCATGACTCTAAAAGGTTCTCCTTGAAGTCAGAGGGCCCAGGATCAACACTCTTGTTGAGTGAGTGACTTGGGCAAGTAACCTCCCCATCTGAAGCTGGGGGCAGCAGCGCGACCCTGCAAGCAGTGGAGGCCGTCCTAGGAATTAAGTGGTGTGCAGCGACTACACTTGTGCACACAGGTAGCCACACAGAGAGTGGGGCTGAAGGCCAGTGCCCTCTCTTTTCCTTGGGCTGTTCTCTTCTCCAGCAGAGCCACTGTCATCCCATAACACTTGCCACCCAGCTCCCTCCCTGGAGGTCCCAACCCAAAGAGGGGGCATTCCAGAGCCCCCACAGCAAAGACTGCATTACTTAGACAGTCACTCCAAAAGATTGATGAAAACCTCCACAATTTCTTCACTTTCAATTTTGTAATGAGGAGTCAATTCCTTCTGTCCATATTTATAGAGTTTACAGAATGACAATGTTTGCTGCAAATCTGAGTTATGCAAATATGAAACAGTGCAATTTAAAAATATGTATAGTCTTTATATATAAAATTTGAAATAATGAAATCACCAGAAATGTTTTAATTCATCGAGAATCACTTAATCTCAAAATATCTTGACCTAGTGAATTGGAAATTATTTTCACCACAGCCCGATGGCAGCGCCACTGGGATAGACCCCGTCATCCTGGTTAGTGGCCCGTGGGTTCCGCATGCTGCTTACGTGCACAGGACTTTCTTCTCGCGATTATGGGGACTAATACGCTGTTATTTTAACATTCGCTGTTATTATAATTTAAAATCTTTTTTATATCCTATAACAATGTCATCCAAGTGTTCATTAAGTAGCAGTGGCAGTGCTCATGCTGAAAAATGTACCCAAAAATCAATAACTTTGGTACGGAAGTTAGATGTGATAAAACGCTATGAGGAAGGCCAAGCAAGACCATGATACCCTGGGCTGTTAATTTAGGAGAGAGCATTCTGCAAGGTATTAGAGATAATGCTGAGAAAATAAAAAGTAGCATTAAGGCAAAGATACACCACATCAGTCAAGGATTTATGTGCTTCCAGAATACATCCCCCCCCCCTCCACTTTTTACATTAATTCCTGTGGGAAAATTAGACTTAAAATATGTTAGTTTTGAATTATGCAGGGTCTCCTAGAACTTGTCCCTGGCATAAAATGCAACCTCGTTATATCTAAAATGCAAACATCCAGGGAGATGGACCAAATGAACAAAATCATTCCCACCAAGGTGCAAATAGCTGGCATTAGATTCTTTGTTTAGCTCGAGGGAGGGTACTACAAGCCTAAAAGAGAGTTGAGAGTAGCAAGGAGAAATTAAAACAACATGAAAGACAGCCAAACGTCCTACACAGACAAACATCCCCTGCTGCACTAGGGATCACTCTGATTGCACAGGGTGGCGTGGCCCCTGCCTTGCTGACAGCCAGAGGCAGGGGGACACCTGAGGAACATGCCCAAAATACTGCGTAACCTCCAACTGCTTTAAAACCCAAAGCACCCCTCACCTCCCTTTTTGCCTTTCTCTTGCACACTGGTCTCACTCCTGTTTAACACCCCATTGCACAAGCCTTATCCTAGTTAAACCTCAGGAAACAGCCCTGTGTGGCGGGTGCTACTGTCCCGCATGTATAGCTGAGACACCAAGGTTCAGCCAGCTACACCACTTGCCAGGGGACCTCCAGGCTTGTGAGGATGGCCATCCAGCCTCTGATGCCAGATCCAGTCCTTTCCATCATCCTACAAAGGCCTGCTATGGTGCAAATCTTCCACCATAACATTATGAGCCCCACAATGTTATTCTTCCCTCCCAGCTAGATTATGACCAGGCTACCTTTATCTCCCTCTTCACAATGCCAGGAGATACCGGGTGAGAGTTCTCAGGCCTCTGACAAGGAGAGCCAGCTGTGGGCCAGGGGGAGGCCGTGCCTTCTTAGTATCTCTGGTGAAGGGCATCAGAGTTCCAAAGGCCTCTGGGTATCTCTGAGTACATCTGCTTTGATGGTTTATCCCTGACAAGATGCCCTAATCTTCTGTGACATCATAATTGACTCCAAAGCAACAGCATGGAGTGAGTTTTGAGGAACCAGAGCAGATTAGTATACTAAGGCAAAGAGCCTTGGAATGGGATTGCAGAGGCCCCAGGTCTCTGGAGGAAGGAGACCAAAGGCCTCTGATCACCCTAAAGGCCAGAGCTGTAGGTTCGGTGGGAGAGGAGGTCTGCAAAAAGAGAGGAAGCCCCTGCCTGGGTACCCCTGCCGCTCCTGCCTCCTGCCACGGCCAAGCTGGCTCCAGCCGGCTCCCCAAAAGAGCCCTGTGAATTTCCTCTGCCTCCGCAGCACCACCCCCTCGCTTCGTTCTGCGTTTATTAAGCAAAAAAAGAATTTCTCCACATATTGATCAGATCTATGTGACATGTGTGTGAGCCCAGGAAAGATCTGGAAAAAGATACATGAAATTGTTATTGCTTTTTTTTTTTTTTTTTTTACAATAGTTACAATTTACTCTACTGACTATTTTCTGTATGGTTCCCAGTTTTCCACTATTTTTTGACTGGAACATGTTACCTTGAGTGTGACATGCTGGGCTAAGAAGAAAGTTGATATATCAGCTTCTTCATGTTGATATTAATGCCCTTATGGTCAACTCATTACACTATGCTTTTCAGTCAACAAAATCTTTATTTCCTTTTCATATGTGCTACTGTATAATCTTTGATAAAAAAAAGTTCAAGTCAAAGGCAAAGGACCTTGATGTTTCATGAATTCATGCATCTGAGATTTCCAGGTTGGGTTTGGCCAAATCCCAAATTCAGAGCCGGGGGATGACACCTCCACCCCTCAGGCACAGGTGTGAGTGAGAAGCCAGAGGTGGGCTGCAGAAGGAAGGAGTTGGGCTTGGCCTTCCTGAGGGGAGCATGGGGGGACAGGTGGTCTGTCTAGGCCCTGGAAAGACCCGGGCTGCCCAAGAACGTGGCATGGAGGGCAAGAACAGCTGCCCGCTGTCCAGGCTAAGGCATGTCTCCCAGGTGAAGCTGCCAGATGCTTCTGCCATGCAGAGAGCTCCTGCTCAGCTGGGGACAATAGCCAGGGGTTGGGGGAGGGGTGCGGTTATATTGTTGAGCTGGCATCTCCCTGAATGTGGCCTGATGTTCTTCCTCTTCATTGGGAAGATGACTGAACACTTGTTCCAGCATCAGGGGCTTCAGAAACATGAGGAATCACCAGCCCTAAGTCACTGCCCTCACGAAGCCCACAGTCTGAGAGGGGAACTAGAACACAACTGACTGAAGTACGAGATGCCTTAGGCCAATGTGTGGGCTCTCACTGACTGCAACTTTCAAGGCAGGGGGATGCTGGGGTAAATATGCACCCTGATATGCAAAACTATGAAGCGACCCTGGTGTCCACTGTAGACAAAGCTCCCAGCCCCATCCCAGGCAAGGAGGCCACCAAGATAATGACAAGGTCCCCAGCTGCTCCTGAGTCTACCATCTATTGTGGGAGAGAGGCGCACTCCCAGTTACCATAACTTGATAATGCTTCCAGAGTCAAAGGGTTGGGTCAAGACCTGGGACCACAGGGCTCCGAGGGGTGGGCCGGGGGCACTCGGACAGATGGGCACCTCAGGCAGAGGGCACGGCCTGAGCAAAGGCCCCCAGGAGGGGCCACACAGTTTACCGTTCTGCTTGGCTGTCTCATAGTCTTCCTTGCACACCAGCCGTCCATCCTCCATGAGGTAGAACTCGTCACCTGTGGCCAGCTGCCGGTTACAGATGATGCAGGCAAAGCAGTGCAGGTGGTAGACGAAGTCCTGGGCCTTGCGCACCACCTGGGTCGGGGGGATGCCCTGCTGGCAGGCTGTGCATTTTGTGCCAAAGCGCCTGTCAGGGCAGCAGGAAAGGATTAGGGTGGTGGGGGGGTCTGGCTTCCTCCCACTTCCCACCAGCTCCTCTCCCATCCCACCAATCCAGGGTCCATGGGCATCAAGCCCCCAGGCCACCCAGAGCTCACCATCTGGTCCTCTCTACCTTGTGGGGCTCTTCAGCCACAAGTGAAGGGGTTGGATTAGAACTAGAGTCTCCAACACCTTTTCCAAGGCTGACATCCCAGGGCTCAAATTGCCTGATTAACACCCATCAATTCACGGGCGGCAGGAGGAGTTTCTAAGTCTCCTCGGCATCAGGCTGTCTCACCTCCACCTCCTGGCTGCGCCTCTTTACGGTGACTCCTGGAGGACCAGCCTCTCGGGGAACTGTGTGTGCCCTTGGGCTGGTATGCATAAAGCACCCAGCAAAACTCCTCTTCCCGTGCTCGCTGCAGAAGGAGGCCCTGCATGGCTGGAGACCTCACGTGCCAGTGTCCACGCTGGTGCTCCAGAGAAAATGCGCTTACTTAGCAGAGCAAGGCTCTCCTGATGGCTTCTCTCTCCTATTCCTCTCCCAATTCCCTCCCCTCCATCCAGCACATAGAAAGCCCTCGTGCCAGCCTCCATCCCCTTCCCATGCATAGCCCTGGGGTGTGATGGGCCAGGATGGGCCCAGGAAGCTGCACTTTCAAGCCGCTGTGGCATTTCAGGGGACAGGGTCTGCGGATCTCAGTTTGAAAAGTGCTGCTTCAGACCTCTCTCTGGTCCACACCTTTCTGGACCAGCACCAAGGCAAAAGGAAACCACTCGCAGCCTCCCTGTGCCAAGGCTGGGAAGGAAGGAGAAATAGACACATTGAAAGTACAGTCCAGGGGCGTCACTTGAACCCTCTCCCAGTTCTGACCACAGAGATAAACAGAGCCACACCAGCGGCTATAGAAGGAGAGGGAAAACTGGGGCCAGTGTAGACACAGGCAGGGAAGATTCTGCTGCAGGTGAGGCTTCCCTGCTCCAGAAGGAGGCGGGAGGGGCCGGGGAAGCAGGGGCAGAGTTTAAAACAGCAATCAACCTAATTATTCATGACATTTCACACAGCAGAACTTTATCTTCTTCAGGATGAAAGACTTCGCCTAATGGATCTGGGGAAGGTTTGATTTTAATGGTCCTTTTAACTAATGCTTATAGGCAGCCTGATTTCCCCTGAAAGGACAGTACATATTTCATCCACATTAATACCAAATAAATTAATTATGGTCATGGCTATCATGATGAATCCCAGATTAATGCAGAATGATGGGTCTCTTATGCAGTAATGACACCTGCTGAGGGGCTACAGGGCCCGGAATAGGCATAGCCAGCTGCGGCTTCAGAAGCCCCCTACCAGGGACGTAGTGGCCCAGAGAGAAGTGTGGGGGAGTGTCTCTATGGCTATATGGGTAACCCCAAAAGAGCCAGGAATCTGGTCCAGGGACTACTCTTCTGAGACAGGTACGGGAAGGGTGTTAGTGTACGAGGCGTGGCTGAGACGTGGCTTGGGAGGAACCCAGACTTTTACAGGAGTCCCAGCCTGAGGTTCAGGATAGGCTTTGTGACCAAGTTGGTGACCAAGTTGTTCCAAATCCTGCCTCAGGACAGAGCCTGGGCTTTCATCAGATTTTCAAAGGGATCGAGGACCCAGAAATGTGGAGTTAATATGTGTTGAATGAAGAAATCAGTGAATAAAGAACGCCACTGGCTAAATCTGAGCATGGAGAACAAAGTATCGAGTGTTCTGTACCTTCCAGAACACAGGTGAGGACCAGGCTTCTCGGCCAGCTGCTGGTTAGCCATGTCGCCTGAATTAAAGAGGAAGATGGGCAGGCCCCCAGCTCCACCCCGCGTGTGAGTGTGCGCATGCGTGTTTGGGGAACAACGGGAGTGTTCTGTACCTTCCAGAACACAGGTGAGGACCAGGCTTCTCGGCCAGCTGCTGGTTAGCCATGTCGCCTGAATTAAAGAGGAAGGTGGGCAGGCCCCCAGCTCCACCCCGCGTGTGAGTGTGCGCATGCGTGTTTGGGGAACAACGGGAAAGGAAGCCTGTATATGTGTTACCAAAGACTGTTTTCAAAAGACCTGCACTTTTTATATCCAGTCCTGGCCAATCCACAAAGCAGGTGTTGAAATGAAACGATGCCTTCACCATGCTCACTGTGAACCCTCCCGATAAACCACCCAAGTCCGGGGGGAATGTCCAGGTCCTTTGCTACAGATGCTGGAGCAGAACAGCTCCAGAGGAGAACTAGACTTTCCCAAAATGCACATCCTATCTTGGTGGCCAAAACAGGGGGACAGAGACCAGAGGCTGAGGGGAGACCCTGGAACAGAGCAAAGACCCCTCAGTGGCCTCTTCCACCCCTAAAAGGCAGACAGGGGCTTTCAGTAACCAGAAGCCCAGTTGACACCAGAGCACCAGAGACATGAAAGATAACGGGGATGTAAATTTAATCTACATACCGACAGTGATTCATGCACGAGGGTGGCAAGTGCACAAGAAAAATGAAAAATAAATGGACTTTCCCACCAGCGTTTTTTAGCCACTGAAGCAATTTTCCTGATTGTGGGATTTATACCGATGGTAAGTGGAAGTTGCCTCTCGTTACCTTTTTCCCCTGTAGCACAGACGAGGGGACCCTCCCTGAGGGAGCCGCATGCACCCCTTTGGCCCAAAGGGCTCCCCCAGTCTGGCCCAGCACTACAGGGCACCCCCAACCCCACCTCCAGTGAGAACCAGTGGACCTGGAATAAGCTGCTGTCCCATGGGGTGTGCATGTGATGAAGACACTGTCCCCAAGTTTCCAGATCTCAGACCAGCCAGAGTCACAGAGGAGAAAGCCGAGGCCTGGCAGGCTGCATAGCTGTCCTGTGACACACGGCCATCATTGTAATTCCCAGGCCCAAGGTGAGATGAAGCTGTGAACTTGGTTGCTACACAAAGAACCAATAGCCCAACCAAATCTGAAGGAGGCTGAGGGTGAGGGTGGAGGCTGGACACTAGCCAAAGAAAGGGGCTTCTGAGGGATTTTCCAGGTAGCACCCCCTTAATACCCACCACCGAGCACCTACTGCGTGCAGGGAGGCCCCACCAGCTCGGATGCACTGTCTGCACCGACCTCACTCGCCAGAAACACAATCGCGCTGATGGGCTCTGCCTGGCCAGGCCTCCAGGGACAGCCAGTCTCCCCAGGGAGAGCAGCTGGGAGGACTCGCTAATGGCTCACATGATTTTCCTCCTTTGGCCAACACCACTAGAAATTCTCTCTTATCCCTGCCCAGCAGGGAGTAGGCAAGCAACAGAGACCCACTGAATGAATGAATGAATGAGTGAACAAATGAGTGAATGACTGTGAGCCTGAAGCAGTCAGGAAAGGATTGGCTCTCAACACAATAATGACAGCTCCTATCAAAAGCCCTTCTGAGAAGGGATTGAGTCCCAGGTTGAAACGAGGCCGGTGGTTTACTAAAACGTGACACTTTCCATCCTGCGTTGTTGTCGTCCCTGCATTCATTCCATGAACGTCTCCCGAGTGCCCAGCCTGAAAGGTGGACATGGTGACGCCTTTTAACAGATGGGAAATGGAGGCTCAGAGGCAGCTCCCATGGGCAGCGAGTGCGAGAACCAGGATTGGGACTGGCTGTTCTGCCACAACACAGTGGCCTTGGTGCCCCTATACCCCAGACTGGACCTTGTGTAGAGGGCCCTGCCCCCCACGCATCCCCAGCTGCCCTGAGCCCCTCACGCGAGGCACCCATCCCTGCAATGCAGGGCTGCCTTGGGCACCTTCACCCCCAGGCATGTTTACCCAACACACCCGACAGGACAGTCACCACCGTCCATGCTCTGATAGCTGGCTCAGGGTTGGGGTGCAGGAAGTGCCCCAGACATCATGGCCGACTCTCACCCTCTGCGCCAGTGCTCGGCCTGAGTACTGTCCGCCCTTTTGCTCTTGACTGGCCTGGCTGGGCCATTCTCGAGTGCAGGGACAAACTAGAGGGTGTCTGGATCCTGTAGAAAGAGAGTGACAGGCAGGTCCTACAGGCACCGAGCCTTCTCAAACCAGGGGCACACAAATCCTACACCAGATGTCTGGCACATTCCTGATTTTAAGTTCTACCCTGCGGTCAGGCCCAGGTAATGTACCATATTTTGGTCACTGAGGGACACTACTAATAAAGGCAGCTCCCACGCACCAGGCACCCACAGTGTGTCCTGCTCTGTGCATGCACGATCTCCCTCCATCCTCACCCCCGGGCCCTCAGCCCACGGCCCATTACCACCCCCTGGAGCAGCCACCACAACCCCAGTACCACCGCTCGGTCCTTGGCGACTTGGCTCCAGGCTTCCCATCACTCCTGTCATCACTCTTGGTGACGTCAATGGCCACGGAGACCATCCTTCCTGCCTCTGCCCTCTGGATTCTTCCACCACTTCTCAGCAGGCATGGCCTCTGCCCTTCCTCAGCGCTCACTGCCAGGTTCTGCCCTAGACCTCGCTGCGACCAGGAACTGCAGCACCTCCAGAAGTCACTTCCCCTCATCCGCCACCTCCTGTCCTGCCCGTGCCCCCAGCACCCTGGCTCCCTCGACTCAGGGACTGCCCTTTTCACTGTGCTTGTCACTGCCCCTCACCCCTCGCTCCCACCCCTGTGGCCTCACTCCCCTCCTAAGGCTCCACTGCCCATCCCGGGAATGCGTCCCCCGCACACCCCTGCCACCCCCTGCCCTCTCTCAGCCGGAAACACGCCACCTTGTTGACGGGGCTCACTCTCGGCTGATGATACGACCTCAGGAGGGCCCTGCACGTGTTCCTGTATTTCCCCAGCGCACTCACTCCCCACCTCCCGGACCCCGGCTCTCTCCAGCCCCGCATCCTCAGCCTCCGCTGGTGGCCCAGCTTCTGATGTCCCAGAGAGAAGAGACGCTCTGGGCAGACCTTCCACACCCCCGCCACTCACCCTCCTCGGCCTCCGCGGGGCACAG